TTAGGTGGTTCATGGCGCTGACCTTGAAATCATTGAAAGGAAGGCAAAAATATAGTAAGTAGAATATGCACTCATGGAAAAGGATGATACATCCTTCATATTTATTGCATACCATTTTATCTTCATCCGGAGGTAATATCTCCCAATCTGATGAAGGCCACACTTTCATAAACGCATGGTCCAAGTTGTCTATACCAATGAAAGAAGAGATTGTGTCTAACGTGTTTTGGTCCACCAAATTAGCCCAAACGTCTTTTTTTGTCTTCTGTATCATGGTTGGCATATTTTTCATTGCAATGAACTCTGTTATAAGAAAAAAGAAAGATTAATAAGCAACATGAAACATGCTAAAGACTAAGTTCAACACGTCCATCAAAGTGCACCAATAGTAGAGGAATTCATTAAAGGTAAAGCAAAAATGTTAAAAGTTGTAACATTTTCTCAAAGTGAAGATCATCACCTGTAAATCACCATCATACGAAGAATTCATCCACCAGACTTCATAATCCCCTTTTTTCAAAAACCCTAACAAAGAAAACAATTTTGGGGGAAAGGGAAACATGGGTGATACCTTAAAAGGAGATGAAGTTGAAGGTTCACGCACTGAAAGAGGTGGTGCGAGTGAATTTGAAATGAAGGTCTGCATAGAAAAATGGATATAAGGAAGGAAATTGCATGCGAAGACCAAGAAGAAACAAAGAAGAGTTTCCTAAGAACATCCATTTTTGGGTTCTTTGTGGGACCTATTAAGCCACGTCAGTTTGAAGCAACTCAACTAATTTTTCAATTCAATAGTGCAACTCTGAAGAACTCATATTGGGTCTCACAACTTTACTTTATATATTAATATTTTATTCATATTAAATTTTATATCACTTAAAATAATAATTTTAATTTTTTACAGAAAATTATTTCAGTCTACTGTATATAGTGTTGTTTTAAGGAAAAATATTTCATTCTACTATATAAACTTAAAAAAAAATTAGATTAAACTTAAAAAAAATATTTCAATCTCTCAGTTAATTTTAGTGTTTTAAATTAAATTTGATATAAAATAAAAAAAATAAGTTTCTATTATATTTATTATATTTTAATATATTATTTTATTATATTTATAATATTATGTTTTCACTTTTCAACAGTAACAAAATTTAACTTTTAATATTTTTTTATTTCATTGCAACGCTGCACTCTGAAGCAACGGTTGACCAGCTGGCACTTGAAAAATAGATCATTTTCTTGAAAACCTGCGTACAGGTGGCGAACTAGGTTGAAAAACTCCCATTGAAGTTGGTCTAATCCCACAGGTGACTAAAGAAGATAAAGTGGTAAGTTGGAAAGTTCTCATGAGTATCCAACTACAATGGACCGCACAATCTCCCATATTTGGAGGTGAGAATTATACTACTAATGGTCTAAATCTTCTCGTTAATTGCTCAAAACATTTAAGTATCATATGAAACAAGGGATACCATTGCTGACAAAAGTAGGGACACACGCTGGGACTTCCCTGTAAAATATCACCCATTGCGAGGAAACATTCAATGCATATGTTCCTGATGTAAGTAACGTCACATCAAGACTTTTCACTTACCACATCCAACATCCGATCTAGGATCATACACGACAAAACACCTATCTTGTAAAGTAGAGACAATAGCTTGAGGGACAATTGTTCGGGACCACTCACAAGGCCCAAGGCGAGAGACCCATAAACGAGCGCTAAGGAATCAAACGCGTTAATTTGGTGAACCATTTTCCTCACCAGATATAAGTGATTCCACCCTCTAGACACATCACCCACCATCCAAATCAATTAGATGGTTGTTCACACATCACGCTGCATTCCTTGCAGACGATTATAATTGCTCAAACTATAGAAAAGACGAAGCACGTCATTTCAGGTATTCAAATTCATTTTCCCTTTCACATCACTTTTCGTTTTTTCTCACTAACTTAAGTGTAGAAGTGCTAACCTGCAAGTTCACCCCGTGCCGCCCTACCAGAAGTTCAGTGCACATTTCGAAAGATCAATTTCACTATTTCATCAATCATTTCTTATTCGTGAGCAAAACATGTTATATGTGCTAAAGAGAAAGATACCCATTAAAAAGTTAAATAAAATAAAATATAGGAGAAATTTTAATTTTTAAAAACATTTAGAGATATAAAATTGAAAAAAATTGTTTGGTAATCTAATTTTTAAATAAGAAAGAAAATTTATAAACATATTTGGTCATTTAGGGATTTTTGAATGAATTTTATTTAATTTCCTAAATTAGTTTTAAGAAATTATTTTTTAAAAAGAAAATAAAAAAAAATGTTAATCTATCTTTGAAAAAAAAAATAGAAAACAAAAACAATAGCATATTAATTTTTAAAACACATTTAATAAAATAAATTTTTAGTTTTTATAATACACTTTTTTTCGTCTTGGTTTTTAAATTGTTTCAGAATTTATTCATATTCAAATTAATTCTCATAATATATTATATATCACATTTTTTTTAATCATTGAAATAAACATTATGGACAAAATTGAAATTACAGGTTTTAACTCAAATATATGGAAAAAAAACTAAAACAACGAATGTTATAAATGAAACTTGTAATTGATGTTTTAAAAAAATTATACTAAAAACTATTAATGGTAAATAGTGACTTATTTTTGTTGGATGTGAGATGTTTATAATAAAAAATAATTGGTTTAATTATTTAATTTTTTGTTAAATATAAAAATTAACTTAATTAATTGATTATAGAAAAACAATTATCCCATCTATAAATTATATATTTTAATGATTTATTTGTGAAAAATAATGTGAGAACAAAAAATAATGACATATATGAAAAAACAAAACCAATAAAAATGTATACATGAAATTTAACCAAAAATATGTATAAAAAAAAAAAGTGTACGTGGCCTAAAATTAGATGGATTTGTTATAGTGTTTGGGGGCGGTCATTTATGCATTTTAGTGTTGAGTAATATGCTAATTGGCCTACTATTTTGTATTAAGATGGATTGTCATTTTAAATAATATATTAAGTAGTAATGTTTTATTAAGTTTATAGGAGATAAAAAAAGAAAAAAGAAAAACCGATGAGAGTTTGTTACAAAAAATTCATTATTTGCCTCCCATAAGTTATTAGGAGATTAAAGAAGGAAAAATGAAAAATTGATGAGAGTTTGTTACAATAACAAACTCTCTCCCTCGTCTCTTCCATTCTGCGTTTACTCTCACTCGTCTCTTCTCTGCGCTGCCTTGTATTCATGTTCGCGTCTCTTCTCTGCGCTGCCTTGTATTCATGTTCGCAAATCTGCTTTACTATTTTCCTTTTCTATTCCATGACAAAAGGTGAATTTTAGTTTGTGACTTTGGTGAATCAACTTTAGAGTAGTATCATGACTAAAGAAATTGGTTAAGTTTTAATATTGCATTGATTAAGTTAATTTATATTTGTATTAAATTCTTTCATTAAGTTTAGGTTATATTGGTTTAATTATGAAAAGTTTCTTTTTCTTTCACAGCAGCACAGCAGCAGATGAAAACTCCATGGATATACGGAACTACTTGGCCACAGCTCATAAACCCACCAAAGTCACTCATGCTTGTGTCGGCAATTTCACCGGAGCAGAAGAAACCAATCTAATCCTCCCGTAAGATTTCTGTTAATTATTTGTTCGTTTATTTATTCGTTACGGTACTGACATTAAATCTAATTTTTACTTTGCATTTTAGGAAATGCAATTACATAGAGATTCTGGTGTATTCTCATGATAATGGGAATTTGGATATACACGATGTTCCCATTTATGGTAGAATTGCAACTCTAGAACTTATTAGTAGGTAATGCATTATTTACTTTTGCTAAGGATAAACTTGTTAAAAATGACCCATTAAACATTTTTTTTTTTAAGTTAGTGAAAATCTTCAAGTTTTTTTGTCATTGTTATTCAGAGATACAAAAGATGTTGCCGAGCCTCGTGGGAAATCTCGTACAACTCAGATGGTTATCATCGACCCGAAGTATGAGCTTATTGGACTTCATTTGTATGATGGGTTTTTTTTAAGGTATTCTCGCATGTAAAAGTGGTAGATTAAGATTATCTATTTATTTTGCCTCTTGAACAGTTTGATTATACTCATTTACTATTTGTTGCTCTAATAAGTCATTTTCTTTGATAGTGGTCACATTCAAGAAGGATTCAATATTAGGTAATTATTTTATTCATTCAATATTAGATTCTAATATTGAATGAATAAAATAATTACCTAATATTGAATCCTTCTTGAATGTGACCAAAGGAAATGACTTATTAGAGCAACAAATAGTAAATGAGTATAATCAAATTGTGACAGAGGCAAAATAAATAGATAATCTTAATCTACCACTTTTACATGTGAGAATATCTTAAAAAAACCCATCATACAAATGAAGTCCAATAAGCTCATAATTCGGGTCGATGATAACCATCTGAGTTGTACGAGGTTTCCCATGAGGCTCGGCAACATCAATCTCTGAATAACAATGACAAAAAAAAACTTGAAGATTTTCACTAACTTAGGAAAAAAATGTTTAATGGGTCATTTTTAACAAGTTTATCCTTAGCGAAAATAAATAATGCATTACCTACAAAAAAATATTAAAATAAAAACATGATGATACCTCCAAATTCCCATTATCATGAGAATACACCAGAATAGGAAATGCAAAGTAAAAATTAGATTTAATGTCGGTACCGTAACGAATAAATAAACGAACAAATAATTAACAGAAATCTTACGGAAGGATTAGATTGGTTTCTTCTGCTCCGGTGAAATTGCCGACACAAGCATGAGTGACTTTGGTGGGTTTATGAGCTGTGGCCACGTAGTTCCTTATATCCATGGAGTTTTCTGCTGCTGCTGTGTATAACGTGACAAAACTTTGCTAACATCATAGAGTAGTGTCCATGGCAGCCACACCCGAGAGACAGTTGAGCTGGTGCCTGTGACTTACCTACAAAGATAAACCAGAGTAAAATGAGAACAGAGAAGAAAAGAAATCACATTAAGCACAGCATTTCCATACTCATTTAAAGGTTTCAAAGTAGGCGTGTGAAAAATAACAGTTCCTGAGAACTAATTTTAAAAAATTGGTGCATCCTTTATAAAAGCCCGTTTTTAGTTTGGATCAAATGCGATCTGAACCGTTACTTGTGGGCACTACAGGTCTGTTTACATGCATATATATATTTGAATAGATTTAAAGACCAAAAAATGATAATAAGTTACTGAACAGAGATACTCTTGTTTACCCAACAAAGTAGTATATCACTACTTAACATAGCTTTAGAGTATTTCTATTTCATCAAGCCGTTACAATAGGGAAGTTCGCATTGTGTGAGCCAAGCCATAACTAATATGGCTACCGTCATTACATATTTTCTTTTAGATTGAAACATATTTATCTCACCAAGCAGGTTAAAGCTATGAAGCAATGTTTTTCTTAATGGCAAATAGATTATATTAATAATGAAAAAGGCCAGGAACATACAACGAAAACCACAGAGCACAAGAAGTGCCTGGCAACAGCTACAGCTAAACAATATACAAGCAAGACAAAAATACAAAACAGCCAAAAGGCGCAATAAGGAAGGGATCACCCAGAAACACCACAAAGTTCTATGATCATATTGATTTACTTTCACCAATAAATATCCTTGTCGTGTATGTAGAGAATGTTACCCATCTTTAAGGCATTGATGTAAAATTTTAGATTTAGAAAACTTACAGTAGATGAATGGACGAAGGGCCAGATACAGCTGCAGCTCTTTGTGCCCGGTTAGCTTCACACTTATAAAGCTCTTTCATTTCTTTTTTAGTGCGTCGTGCTTCACGCCGTTCCTCCTTAACAACAGCCTTCAAAATAACACAGTTGTCAAATTAGTAAAACTCAAAACCATTATTCTTAGAGAGACGGCAGTTGGTGAATTAATAAAAAATTGATAATTATAGCATTCATATATGAAGCATAGTAAACACTGGACATAATATAAACAGGCTAAGTAATGCGGTTACCTTTCTCTCTTTCTTCTCCTCCTTCGACTCTAGGCTATGCTGTTTTCTCTTGTACTGTTCAGTTTTTTCACTCGTCGAGTCTTTAACCTTTTCAGCAGCAGGTTTTCTACCACCGGATAAGAAGTCTAAAGGAAGCTTTGCTTTTCCTCTTAGGTAAATTATTGGACTAGAGGAACTAAAGGCAGCAGTCACAGTTTCAGCCAATTTCTTTTTCCTATTTGCTCCCGGTGTTTCAATCTTTCCAGGGTGGTTATCTAAATTAGTGTATGTTGAAACAATAGTCTCACAATCCCAAACTTCTGACTCATCGCTACTTTCTTCAAAAATCACGGCATCTTTGCCGTCATCTTCAACTTCATACTGCTCACCATATTCTTTGGTACGGCGAATCACATCCGCGGCAGAATCCTCTTCCTCCTCACCTTCTGCAGGAACCCTGTACTTGCCACCACCATCAAGTTCTTGGTTATCCATCACATGGTTGCCAAGCGAGAGTTTGAGCTTCTCAGCAAGTGACTCGTCTTCAGCTCGATAATTTTCTTCATAATCACCATAATAATCATCGTAGTCACTGTTATCATCAGTTCCATATTCTTGATGTTCAAGCTATAACAGAAAATGTACTGAGAATGAGAATCTTAGAAGTAAAATGTATAGCGGGTGGTCAATAAAGACAATTATTACTTGTAAAAGCAATAATGGATAGAATTTGAAAATTACACTCAGATACCATACCAAAAACGAAGAAGTTCAATACAGTTTATTAAATTATGTAACTTGTGATAGCAACTGATGTGTAGAGATAAAAGTGAGGAGAAAGTTAACCACGCACTGAATCTTGTTTCCCATTCTGAATAAGACCTTAGTACAAACAGAAACTTAGCACAGGAATACAAGCTAATCGTACATACAAAAACATATTTATAGAACTATTAATTTAGAAAAAAGTAAGGCATCACACAATGTGAAAATTAAAGATTATGATCAGAACTCACCAAATCGAATTGTTCATCCAACAGACGACGACCTCTTGGCTTTTCAAGACCACAGTGCACATCTGTTGCACCATTTGAACTCCCATCCAAAGGTCCACAATCACCGGCAAGAGTGGAATAAGCAGAAACTTGCAATGCATGTTTATTGTTTAAGCTTCTACTCAGCATAGACTCCTCGGGGAAGTTCTTTCCATTAAATGTGTGTGTCTTCTCTTCGTCACCTTCATCTTCACAGAGGTTAGCCTGGACAACAAAGTCTTCCTCCAAATCTTCGACATCAGAGCCAAACCGTGATACATCACTGTCATCGAGCAGTGCAGCAACTTCAGGATCAACAGCTTTTTGAACCCTTACGTTAGCAGTATGGGATGCAACACTGTACAGAGTGTTTTCTTCGGGCTGTTCCTCTGCCGCCTCTTTAATTCGAACTCTCGAAGCATCATAAGCCTAAATTCACAAATCAAAAACTACAAATCTTAAAAGCCAATTTGGATAAGATTCTACAAATAGTCAAATACTTGAAGAAAAATAACAATTTGACAAATCTTTGCTACATTAATTTACAGAAAAATAATCTGGTTTAAGATTTTATAGCTTCTGATACAAATATAAATTAACTTCTACCTATCGATTTATTCAACAAAAAAACTCATTGGTTTGGCTTCTCAGTTCTCAAAAAACAACTGCACACTTACAAAGGCTATCTAAAGTGCAAAAATACAAACTTATTTTTAATGAGGGTCTAAAAAATACTACTTCAAACAATTAAATTCTACCAATATACTTCGAGTGACAGCATTTATACGGAGAAATCTTGTCCGGTTGATCTAACTGTCAGTTAACAGCCTAACCAAGCTAAAATATAAATAACTTTTTAGGGTGAAATTGAGTTAACAGCTTAAATAAGCACTCGTCAAATAGGTGTTTATCATTCAAACTCTTATACATAAGCCATTTTTTAATCACAGAAGGATTGCATTATACTCTTCTCATGCAAATTATAAGCTGATTTTATAAGCCATTATAGTGAGCCCATTGCAATAAAATGAAAACATGCTTGTGGATAATCTATAACTGAAGCTATTTTCATAAGCTAGCACATACACTCGCATAAGTCCAAATAACAATTTAAAGAAACCCTTGGACATACCACTCATCCAGTCCCTTAGACAACACTGAACCAGATTACCCTGCTGCACCTGATCCAGCTTTGACATCTATTCCAAACCAATCCTTAACAACCTGTTTCATCTATGCCCCCTTGTGCTATACTTGATCCACCCTCAACACTTATTCCAACCCAATCTTCCCAGCCTGTTCCATCTCATGAACCATGTGAAAAGGATTTTAAATCACTCAACATTGATTTCTAAAACCAGCAACTCTGACAGTCCAACTAAACCAGTGAGGCAGAGAAAAGCTCCCTCCTATTTGTCTGATTATGTGTGTGATATTCCATCAAGTACTTCAACTGCACTTGCCACCTCAGGTACTTTATATCCTATATCCCTTTTTCATTCACTCACGCACTTATCTCCTACATACAAGGCATTCAACATGTCTATCACACAACTACTGAGCCACAATCTTTCTAGAAGCAAAGAATTCACCTTGCTGGTTAGAGGCTATGAATGTTGAATTAGATGCCCTTCACAAAAATGGGACTTGGATCCTTATTGATCTCCCACATGGAGTGAAACCTATTGGAAACAAATGGGTATATAAGATCAAGTATAAATCAGATGGTTCTATTGAAAGGTATAAGGTAAGGCTTGTTGCAAAAGGGCTGTACTCAAGTGGAATGTCTTGATTTTTTCGACACCTTTTCACCAGTGGCAAAGCTGACCACAGTCGGGACTTCGCTTGCTATTGCCGCAATCCACAATTGGCATCTCCATCAATTGGATGTGAATAACGCTTTCCTTCATGGAGACCTTCAAGAGGATGTCTACATTTCCTGAAGGAGTGCAGGGGACCAATCCCAATCAGGTATGCAAGTTGTTGAAGAGCTTGTATAGACTTAAACAAGCAAGCCGCAAATGGTATGAAAAGCTAACTTACTTGTTGCCTAAGGAAAGCTATACTCAATCCACTTCTGATTATTCCTTTTTTACTCTGCACAAAGATAACTCTTTCACTGCACTATTAGTATATGTAGATGACGTGATTCTTGCAGGGAACTCATTAAATGAATTTGAGAGAATCAAAAGCATTCTAGATGATGCATTCAAAATAAAAGATCTTGCCCAGTTGAAGTATTTTCTTGGGTTAGAAGTAGCTCACTCCAAGGCTGGAATTACATTTTCTCAAAGGAAATATTGTCTTGATCTTCTTAACGATTCTGGTCTGCTTGGCTCTAAACCGGCTTCCACTCCACTTGACACCTCAGTTAAGCTGCACAATGATGGTTCAACACCTCTAGAAGATGCCTCTTCATTCAGAAGATTAGTTAGCAAGCTTCTTTACTTAAACACAACAAGGCGAGACACCACCTTTGCTTCCCAACAGCTAAGTCAATTTATGCACTTACCTACTGCAACTCGTCATTGTTTCTTCCTAGGCAGCAAATCTCTGATATACTGGCGCGCGAAGAAGCAACCCACAGTATCCAAATCCTCGTCTGAGGCAGAATACCGAGCATTATCATCGGCTGCGTGTGAAATACAGTGGTCACTATACCTATTTAAAGACTTAAATGTGTCCTGCGCCAAGATCCCAGTGATGTACCGCGACAATCAAAGCGCTATTCACATAGCATCCAACCCAGTTTTTCACAAGAAAACGAAATATTTGAACATAGACTGTCATTTAGTGCGCGAGAAAGTTCAAGAGGAAGTACTCAAACTTCTTCCTATTTCATCCTCTGAACAACTTGCAGATTTCCTTACAAAAGCTTTGCCTCCACCTAAGTTTCACTATTTCATCTCCAAACTTAACATGATAAACACCTATCGTGCTGCAGTTTGAGGAAGGCTATCAAAGCAAGTGATATTGGAAAGATCGTGTGGCTCCTATCAAAGCAAATGATATTGGATAGATCGTGTGGCACCTATCGTGTGGCTTCTAACAAACATCACAAGAAAAACTAAACTAGTACAACAAAGTGAAACCAAATTCAACACAGAGAGAACAGAATCATCACCTTAACATCACTAACATGCTCAAGTTTGAACTTAGGGTTACTAAAGAAATTTGAACCACCGCCAGTATTCTTAATTTCCCTCAAATGAAACAAGTAGTTATAACCATCATCCGGAAACCCTAATTCCAGAATCTCCTTCCTCACATCGTCCGGCAAAGGACCACTACCTTCGACAAATCCGTCGTCGGTGTCAAACTCTGCGTCAGGATCATCGGGGGAATCGGCAAAGACAGAGTCGTCGGGACGAGGATTGTTGTCGACACGAACGAAAACACGGTCGGATTGAGCGAATGCTGGATCAGTTGAGTCACGAGCCATGAGTTGGAATGTTGTAGAAGTCTTTTTGTCGATGAATTTCTTCTTCCCCATTTGGTATCAGTTTGATTGGCTGTAGTGGTGGTTGTAGTGGTGGCTGCTGTGGCGGCGCCTGAGAGTCGTGCTAAATGTTCACTAATAGTATTTCACCAAAACACCTTTATTTATTATCTGTTTTTTTTTTAAATTACTTAGTAAAATCTGATTTAAATTATTAGATTAATTGTTATGCAATCAATACAGAGCTGTGCTATTCTCACACTGTTTTTTTCATACACCTTATCAACACCGTAAGTAATAATAAAGCAAAGTGTTGTGGCACAGAAATCAAAGTTAGATAAATTAATTAAAAAAATAAAACTAGTATATCTTATGTATATTAACACGGTGTATATGTTAAACTTAGTATAAACATATCTTTTCTCATCGATATATCACCGTTGGTATTATTTTTCAGATAATTAAAATAGAAGTCAAATATTTTAAATAAATCAACGGTTCTGATATAACTGAAAGTATAAAAAACATTATAAGGCCAATTAAATTTTTACCAAATTTTATTTTTTTGAATATGTTATTAATATTCTCAAATATCATGTGTATTCTTTTCCTAAACGAGTGACTCAAAAAATCCAACTTTGGTTTAACTGTTGTCCAATATTTAGGGTTGTTTAAAATCAAATCAAGCTAATAGGAAATTGCAAATCAGACTAAATCAAATCGAAATCTTAAAAAATCACATTTTATTCAAATTATTTAGGTCATTTTTTAACAAAATTGCGTAGTTTGATTTGGTTTGCGGTTTGTATTTTGCAAATCGTACTAAATCGCACTATGTTAAAATCCAAATTTCACTTATCTCATATTCAACTCAAAACTCAAACATATTATGCCTTAATGTTACAAATATTATCTTATTCACACTTAAGGTTTTAGTTTCAATCTTCTTGAATCTCTCTTAGTAATATCACACATTCTTCTCATCTTCTTTGTCATATGCATCTCACATCTTCTACTATAATCTCTCATCTCTTATATATGTTCTTTATTTTTGATCTTCTCATTTTTATGTTATTCTTTTCTCTTCCAAATACGTCTTTATCGCAATTTTCTTCTCTAATCTCGCATCTCTTATATACTTTCTTTTTCATCTTCTATAATCTCTCCTCTCCTCTATTTTTTCTTTTTTATTGTGATGTTTTTTATATTATTTTATTATACTATTTTATGTTTTTTATTCCATTTTTGTCTAATCTTATTTTTGTATATTGAATGAGAAGTTTTCTATAAATACAATGAGTTTTGTTGTTAATTGGTAATGTATGACTTAATAAAAAAATTGTAAAAAATCGAACCAATCCAAACCACATTGATTTGATTTGATTTGATTTGGATTGGTTTTATTTTTATAAGTCAACCGATCAAAACTGAACCTCATACTTTTTTCTCTTGCGGTTCGGATGATTTTTAACGTCGACCCCTACTCAGACCGCTCCGCGAACACCCCTACTCATTTTCAATATTATATTTCTATTTATTTTAAAATATAAACCCTTATCCTTGTTAAAATAAAACAAACTTAGATTTAATGCATAAAAAAGTGTCTAATGTTTTGATATGCAAAATATAAGGTCATTTACAATTAATTTGTAGAAATAGATTTTATTTTGTGTTGCTCAAGACTCACGATCAAGGTCTAATAATGAGCAACACGTGAATAGGTGTACGGAACAAGTGAGACATCGCTTCAATTGAGGACACATGATAACCTCTTTCATATTTCAGGTATTTTTTCATACACACATTCAAATTACTTTGTCACTCATTAACTAACATAGGTGTTGGAATGTTAATCTTGTAAGTTCACCCCCGTTATGTCGTACCGGAAGCTCACTCCATCATATCTAACTTATATTTCATTCAATTCTCACCTAATGTGGCTCTTGTGTCGAATATTGGTGTTGTTTATGGGAATAAACATTTGGATCTTGTGAATCTCCATGAAAAAACATCATATTTCTACCATGATTTCAAATCATCATCTTTTTCTCTTTCGGATCACCCAATCTTTTTTTCTATTAGAGTATAAATCTTTCCCTTGTACAATCATAGCAGCATCGAAAGCCACTCGCTCGACCACCACAAATAATATCGTTGTTATAACAAACATTACTGCTCTCGTGGGGAAGTCTACTCTTCCTCCTCCGATTGAATATGTTATAGTATTAGTTACTTTTCATTCACTTCCAACGCTATAAAATCCAGCACCTCTGGTAGTTGGACAAAGTACCTTCTGAGTTTTCTCAACCTTTCATCCTTTTCTACATCCATTCAAAGGTCAGACATCGAAGCAAATTTCTTTGCAACTTATATTTCATGTACATGAAATGCTTCATAATTTCCGTCAATTACAAGCCAATTTAGACATGCAAGGGGAGAACGATCTTCTGAACAATGTCTATAACTCAATACAATAGTCGAATTTGCACTTTCTCATTTATAGGATACTTCAGAATGAAAACAACTTGTAATTCACTACCATTAAGGAATATTTTGTGAACTTTTTGGATCTTTCCTATGATGGACCTCTCTTCAAGACATGTGAACAAGGCAATAAATTCAACTATAAGACTATTTCCTCTTTATTTTTTATAAATCCAAAATCTCTGGTGCTCTTCCATTCTATGTAGGCTCTATGCACCCATACATTCTTCTAATTCGTTATATGGAAAGTCATATACTCTTATTTCCAAGAAAAAAATTTTAGTCTATTAACCAAGTCTAATGTTGCAACTCTGTGTTTGCTTACCATATGGTGACTTAGTCACGAAGATACTGGAACAAACTGGCCTAAACTTTAAAGGAGAAAACTATGTGGAAGGCGTAACAAATATACGAGAAACAGCACTAGGAATTATGACGTATGAAATTATTGATGGGAAAATAATTCAAAAACCCTCCAAAGGAAGGAAAGGGGAATGGAACAACAAGATCAAGAAGCACCCATGAATCTAGAAGATTTTGGTTATATCATCCCCAAAATGCTTTTTGCTAAAGTTTTACTTAAGGACATAATCAAAAGACTAAAACAGACAAATAAGAAGATCAACTTCCTGGCTTTTCACTTTGCCCAAGACTTGAGACATCTACCTCTAGGGATACTCACTAATGATGATGAGGATAGCGGAAATTATGTGTCTTTAGCTTTTAAGTGTGTTTAAATTTTTGTCTCTCTCTCTCTCTCTCTCGTATTTTTCTGCAATTTCCTATTTTTATGTATTTTAAATTAATTAAATAATTTTTTTCCTTAGTAATATGTTTGACTATGTAAATAATGTACTTGCATATTTACCATTTCGTCTAGCGTCTTTACCCACTTTTTTATTATGACAAAGGGGGAGAAACATATTCTTAGGGAGAGTGGAGTGTACTTTTTGCTCATATGAGTAGAAATTTAGCCACTCCAAAATTTATCTACTTACTTTTTTTTACCACCTCCCTGAGATATTTATTATCATCATAAAAAGAGGGGAAAATATGGATATATGTACTTTCAAGCATAATCAAGAAATGATCCAATTTGATAAAGCTCATAGATAGCAAGATTTAAGAAGCAACTACTTAGCTTTTATGATGACTTGGTTTTGATGATGACAACACTTGAAGTAGTTTTGATGATGACAACACTGGAAGTCAAACAACTTTTAAAGCTAGAATGAGCGCTCAAAGATGCATATGGTGGTTGTTCAAGTTATCCTTCATAATCAAGTTGGTCAAGCTTAAAACTTTGGGCTTATGATCACTAGTGATCCCAGATGATGACAACTAATACTGAAATATCTCAAGCCTCATCAAGAATATACAGGGTTCTTGTTTAATGTTAAAGTCAAAGATATTGCCAAGACTTGAAGTTTCAAAGTATGAAAGAGATGAAGTATGAAAGCTCGCTTGATCGTATCCATCTGAATGATCATTGTATTTTAAAGACACAATAGAGTTTCTTAAAGTAGTATGGTTAAATCATACACACTCAAAAAAATATTTTTAAAGTCTCTCTTTTTTAATTAAAATCACCACACACAAAAATTGGAACCTAGCTAGTTTATTAGAAGACTTTTTGCAATTATCTAATCGATTAGATACTTACCATAATCAATTAAATAATGGATAATTGAGTCTAAAATTGATTGTGGCAAACTTTTAAAATTAGTAACGACTCTCTATCTAGACGTTCTATTTTAGGCACTACTAATCGATTAATTACATCGCCTAATTGATTAGCTAATCAATTATTTTAATTAATTGGCTCATAGATTGTTTCCAAAATTACACAATTTCTTGACCTATGAATATTAAATGTCTCTATTATTTCAAATCATCCAGAAAAACGTGAAAAATCTCACTTTTTCTTTCAGTCATAATTTCTCTAAATCATTTATACTTCTCTCACATATTTTAGCCACAGTGTTATGAGAGTGCTCTTACGTTTAATTACAAATTTTCTATGGGTGAGAGGATTTATTATAAATTTACCAAAAGTTATTTTTGCATTGAGTAAATCACTCATCCTTAGGAAGTGATTATATTGGTTTGGGGATTTCTTTTAAAGCCTTTAAAGTTTGAGAGTTATGGCAAAAATCGAGATCCAAATGAATATAACGAGTATATAGATAACGTGATGGATTATTGTCATGCTTGGGAAATAGTTAAATGCAAGTTGTTCATGTTGATCCTTAAAGGTGCCGCCATGGCATGGTTCAAGGTCCTCCCATATGAGATTATTAGTTTCTGAAAGGGGTTTGTAACACCTCAAAATTTGCCTTAAATTTTTTTTAATCTCTTGTCTTATGTTTCATTTCATTTGCATCTTCATTTTCATTTGTGCATAGCATGGGTTCTAGGCAGGGGGACAAGGTATTTTGTTGTGATTCTCAAGAGGAAGAGTATGGTTCTTAAAGCTTAAACAAGGGTTCATTCTCAACCCTGTGGTTTTCTCAAGCCCGAGGTCCTTTCATCTTCAAGACATGTCTCACAACCATTTGAATCAAGGTTAC